GATGAGGATGATGATGGTAAAAAATCTGGAATTTATTTCATTTATTTCCGCTGAAAATTGAAAATATCGATCACAAAATTTAATGTCGATGATGGTAAAAAAATCTGGAATTTATTTCATTTATTCCTGCCAAAAATTTAAAATATCAATCACAAAATTTAATGTCAACGTTGCAGATGATGATGGTAAAAAATCTGGAATTTATTTCATTTATTTCCGCTGAAAATTTAAAATATCCATCACAAAATTTAATGTGAAAATTTCAAATATCCATCACAAAATTTAATGTCGACGCTGCAGACGATGATGAGGATGATGATGGTAAAAAATCTGGAATTTATTTCATTTATTTCCACTGGAAATTTAAAATATCGATCACAAAATTTAATGTCAGCACTGCAGACTATGATGAGGATGATGATGGTAAAAAAATCTGGAATTTATTTCATTTATTTCTGCTGAAAATTTGAAATATCAATCACAAAATTTAATGTCAACGCTGCAGAAAAATGATTATTGTTGTTGTTGGAATATTGAGCTATATAAAAAGGATGAAATCTTAAATTTAACAAAAATATTGCATGGAAATCCCATAAATAATTTCATTTTTGGGTTGATTTTCCTTTGCAGACCAACTCTCTGAAGAAGGAGAAGAAACCAAAACCCCGGTGCAGCCTCCGGCCCCAGAGAGCCACAACGGGCTCAGGGTGGTTTCCACCAGGAAACCCAACCCCAGTGCAAAACCAGGTAATGCTGGGGTTGGAACACAAAATATTCATAAAATAAAAGCAAAATATTGCTAAAATAAAACCAAAATATTCCTGAAATATATAACAAAATATTCCTAAAATTAAACCAAAATATTCCTCAAATAAAATCAAAATGTTCCTGAAATAAAAGCAAAATATTCCTGAAATAAAAACAAAATATTCCTCAAATAAAGCCACAGTATTCCTAAAATTAAACCAAAATGTTCCTCAAATAAAACCAGAATATTTCTAAAATAAAACCAAAATATTCCTGAAATAAAACCAAAATATTAGTCAAATAAAACCAGAATATTCCTCAAATAAAAACCAAATATATTCCTAAAGTAAAAACAAAGTAGTCCTAAAATAAAAGCAAAATTTTCCTAAAATTAAAACAAAATATTCCTGAAATAAAAACAAAATATTCCTGAGGGTGATTTCCACCAGGAAATCCAACCCCAGTGCAAAGCCAGGTAATCCTGGCCTGAAACTGGGAATTCAATACAAAATATTCCTAAAATAAAAACAAAATATTCCTGAAATAAAAACAAAATATTCCTGAAATTAAACCAAAGTATTCCTGAAATAAAAGCAAAATATTCCTCAAATAAAACCAAAATATTCCTAAAAAAAAACCAAAGTAGTCCTAAAATAAAAGCAAAATATTCCTCAAATAAAAACAAAAATATTCCTGAAATAAAAGCAAAATATTCCTCAAATAAAAACAAAATATTCCTGAGGCTGATTTCCACCAGGAAATCCAACCCCAGTGCAAAGCCAGGTAATGCAAGGCTGGGATTGGGAATTAAATACAAAATATTCCTCAAATAAAAACAAAGTATTCCTGAAATAAAAGCAAAATATTCCTGAAATAAAACCAAAATATTCCTAAAATAAAAACAAAAAATTTTCTAAAATAAGACCAAAATATTCCTGAAATAAAACCAAAATGTTCCTAAAATAAAACCAAAATATTCCTCAAATAAAACCAAAATATTCCCACAATGGGCTCAGGGTGGTTTCCACCAGGAAACCCAACCCCAGTACAAAGCAAGGTAGTGCAGGGCTGGGATTGGGAATTGAATACAAAATATTCCTAAAATAAAAGCAAAATATTTCTCAAATAAAAACAAAGTAGTCCTAAAATTAAAACAAAATATTCCTGAAATAAAACCAAAATATTCCTAAAATAAGAACAAAGTAGTCCTAAAATAAAAGCAAAATATTCCTGAAATAAAAGCAAAATATTCCTAAAATAAAAGCAAAATAGTCCTCAAATAAAACCAAAGTAGTCCTAAAATAAAAGCAAAATATTCCTCAAATAAAATTAAAATATTCCTGAAATAAAAGCAAAATATTCCTAAACTAAAAACAAAATATTCCTGAGATGAAACCAAAATATTCCCACAATGGGCTCAGGGTGATTTCCACCAGGAAACCCAACCCCAGTGCAAAGCAAGGTAATCCTGGGCTGGGATTGGGAATTAAATACAAAATATTCCTAAAATAAAAGCAAAATATTCCTAAAATAAAAACAAAATATTCCTAAAATTAAAACAAAATATTCCTCAAATAAAAACAAAAAATTTCCTAAAATAAGACCAAAATATTCCTGAAATAAAACCAAAATATTCCTCAAATAAAACCAAAATATTCCTAAAATAAAAACAAAAAATTTCCTAAAATAAGACCAAAATATTCTGAAATTAAACCAAAATATTCCCACAACGGGCTCAGGGTGGTTTCCACCAGGAAACCCAACCCCAGTGCAAAACCAGGTAATGCTGGGGGTGGAATTGGGAATTAAATACAAAATATTCATAAAATTAAACCAAAATATTCCTCAAATAAAATCAAAGTAGTCCTAAAATAAAATCAAAATATTCCTGAAATAAAAACAAAGTAGTCCTAAAATAAAAGCAAAATATTCCTCAAATAAAATCAAAATATTCCTGAAATAAAAGCAAAATATTCCTAAAATAAAAACAAAAAATTTCTTAAGATAAAACAAAAATATTCCTCAAATAAAACCAAAATATTCCCACAATGGGGCTGAGGGTGATTTCCACCAGAAAATCCAACCCCAGTGCAAAGCCAGGTAATCCTGAGGTTAGAATTGGGAATTCAATACAAAATATTCATAAAATAAAAGCAAAATATTGCTAAAATAAAAACAAAAAAATTCCTAAAATAAAAACAAAATTTTCCTAAAATAAGACCAAAATATTCCTGAAATAAAACCAAAATATTCCTGAGGGTGATTTCCACCAGGAAACCCAATCCCAGTGCAGAGCAAGGTAATGCAGGGCTGGGATTGGGAATTAAATACAAAATATTCCTCAAATTAAACCAAAATATTCCTGAAATAAAAACCAAAATAGTCCTCAAATTATTCCTAAAATTAAACCAAAATATTCCTCAAATAAAAACCAAATATATTCCTAACATAAAAACAAAAAAAATCCTAAAATAAAACCAAAATATTCCTAAAATTAAAACAAAATATTCCTAAAATAAAAACAAAATATCCCTAAAATAAAAGCAAAATATTCCTGAAATAAAACCAAAATATTCCTGCAATAAAAACAAAGTAGTCCTAAAATAAAACCAAAATATTTCTAAAATAAAACCAAAATATTCCTAAAATAAAAATAAAATATTCCTGAGGGTGATTTCCACCAGGAAATCCAACGCCAGTGCAAACCAAGGTAATCCTGGGCTGGGATTGGGAATTAAATACAAAATATTCCTAAAATAAAAACAAAATATTCCTAAAATAAAAACAAAAAATTTCCTAAAATAAGAGCAAAATATTCCTAAAATAAAACCAAAATATTCCTAAAATTAAACCAAAATATTCCTCAAATAAAACCAAAATCTTCCTCAAATAAAACCAAAATAGTCCTCAAATAAAACCAAAGTATTCCTAAAATTAAACCAAAATATTCCTAAAATAAAAGCAAAATATTCCTCAAATAAAATCAAAATATTCCTGAAATAAAACCAAAATATTCCTAAAATTAAACCAAATTCCCCCCTGTCCTGAGGTTTTTAACTCTTGGGGAGAATTGACAGAATTTATTCCCAATATTCTGGGATGGATTCACTTCAAATTTTCCTGAATTTTCTGTGCTTTTTAGATGACAACTTAAATTTTGGAATCAAAACCTTGGAAGAGATCAAACTGAAAAAACTCAAGGAAAAAGCCAAAAAACAAGGTGGTGAGTTAAAATCCCTAAAATCCTATTTTTCATCCTGAATTCTCTTTCATAATTCACA